TCTTCATTCCGAGTCTACGGGTATCAACAATAGACTAAAGCGTGTGACCCTACGCAGCATTCCTAAGATGCGTAGCTACACCAACGGAACTCTCACTGACATTCTCTTCTATACCAGTCCAAAGTATTGTCAGCACATCATTGACACTGTGGCGGCCACCATTAAGCACCTACGTCAGTTGTTTCTTCAAAGGAATCCAGATTTTAAGGTGAGTTTCTACTGTACCAAATCCAGTGGAAATCACTTGCTACTAAATTTGTAGGGTAATAGATGGATAAATAGGTGAATCTTTATCGGATTGAATTACGTTTAAGGATGGATTTGGAATATGGTCGTGCTCTTCTGGAGGCTATGTTTTTGAAGAGTCAGGGTTGGGGAATACAGATGAATGGAAGCTATATCATTACCGAAGTTGTTAAATATTTTTTCCTTCGTTTCTTCAAGGGCGACTTCTCAATCGCCGGGCACAGTCTTGGCTCCGTCATAGTCTTTGATCTTCTCTCGCACCAACGGCGAACTTCTTCCGAGACACCTTCACTCAAATCCAACGGTGGAGGAGGAGGAGGAGGAGGTCTCGAAGACGAGGATGACTGGTCACTCCTCGACGCTGCTGCTGCCTCCACAAACTTAATTAGTGCTCCTCCTTTCTCTCTCAACACCACAGATCTTGCTGCTCAGCTCACGTCGACTACCGACCTGACCGAGGTGCAGGTGCGCCAGGTTCTCAACGTTCTAGTCAATAGTGGTAGTGTTGTCACTGGAGTATCGAATCATTCAAATGGCGTGGGTCTGCCAGTTATCAACTATCCTCAGCTCGGCTTTCCGCTTAACACATGTTTTCTTCTCGGATCTCCATTGTCCATTTTCCTTGTGGCGCGAGGAGTGGAGCGTCTGCCATCGGAATTTCGACTGCCAACTTGTCAAGCCTGTGTCAATATCTTTCATCCGTTCGATCCCGTCGCCTATCGTCTGGAAAATATGATCCTACCTGATTACAAGGTTTGTGTTTAGTGTTAGTGTTGTTCTCCCTACTTGCGTAGTTTGAAATGGTTACAAGTAATGTACTTGGATTTAGCATTTTGAGATGTTACACAGATAAATCAAAAGATGAGGGTGTTTCTTCAGGTCTACTTTCCACCATGAAATTCGATTAAACGTTCTGCCGTATTACGGGTGCTGGCTTTACGCTTTTCTAGCCCTGCGCTGTGTTAATGCCACACCACAAAGGAAGG